GATTATTCCATGAAGAGCCCTCGGAGATACACGAGATACAGAGCAAAGGACCCAGACACTACTCACGAGCTAGAGGAGCATATACAGCAACCATCCCCATGCCAGCACGCCTGGGCATGATCTTGGCAGCATTCTGTGGCATAACTCCGCCCGGGGTATGACGTCCTGCCCAAGAGCCATCGATTAGGACGCAGTACTCCGTATGAGAGATCTGCGGGATCCTGGCATGATTCGTAGATAGCGTCGCCCTTGGTAGTACACTCCCATTCGTGCGTAATGTTCCCGGTGACAAGTGACACGGCTGACCCCAGAGGTAAACGTGGCTTAGCCTCCAGCCTGTGCCACAGAGCTGTTGAAGGTTCGCTCCGCTGGTCAGCGTGGCCAGGCTCGCGTGGTTGTGCATGTAGACGCTGAAACCTTTTTTCTTGTCATTAGGATCACGTTTGCGGGGTTGGCTCTTGGCAACTGGGGGTGATGAGGATGCTGACTCGCTTGAATAGTCAGGGAACCTCTGAAGTCTCGAGACCAAAGGGTGACACTAATATTCCCTTCATGTAGAATTTGCGTTTCTTACTGTGGTAGTAAAGATAGTTCCACTTCAATGATACCCTCTCATCATCTGGGATGGCTGATCACTCAGTCGAGTCCTCGTCCCTGTCCTCGACCTCGTCTGCAACGCCTCTGGGATATATTGCGCCTCCCGATCGTTGCGTTTCTATTCCTCCTCGTCTGGTCCGTCTGACATCACCTATCTTGTTGTTATGTATTGATTTAATTCAAATTAGGGCAGTTATCACCATAAGGTATCGAATCCACAGACGGGAGAGAGAAACAATGCTCCGCGGAGACCTCTACTTCCTAGGAAGAACAATAATCGCCAATATCGATGTCGATAGACAGTTCCCCCTTGTCAAGCTCAGTATCTGGAGGACCCTCCACCGTGGGAAGCAAGCCCTTGGGGCAGAGAGCGACGCCCCGGACCCGAGCCTGTGTTCTATTTGCATGGAGCAGCTCAGTGATGATGAGGACGTCCGGCCGCTGCCTTGCGAGCACATTTTTCATCCGGCCTGTGTGGATTTGTGGCTGACGAGATATCACACCTCGTGTCCTCTGTGCAGAGTCAGCTTGGTAGAACACGCGGGGAAGTTGGATTGGGGAGATGTGGAGGATGGGAGACGACCTCGATTTATGGGTATGTCAGTGCCTTCCCAGTCTGCGTTGATCAGTTTTGCAGGACGGTTTGGGTGAAGTCCTCTCCAATTTCATGTGCCATGTAATTGCGGTTAAGTCTAGCGGGAGATGGTTCTATTCCAGGCATCACAACAGGCGTCACAGGAATGAGTCTTCCGGCCTAGCTTGTTTGATTCGGGGCGTTCATAGTGTATTCAGTTATTCTATTGTTTGCCATGATTAATTCTTAGAGATTCATTCATTCTAATTTCTAGGTTAAGCCCTCCATATCCCCGTCTGGTAACCGGCTATTCGCCCTGGTGAACCCGATCTAGATCGTGATTCCGATATATTGTTATCCTTGGTCGATCCAGCTTCAAGATCGACTTGCACACGCCCCTTCTTCACACATTCTTGTTGATAGTCCCATTCATCCAAGTCTATTCCTTGGAGCTCTGCGGAGTTTTCCAGGCGTTCACAGGATGGTTTGGCGATTGCTTCCTTGCTTGCTTCTCGTCCATCCAGTCTGAGGGACGGCATAAGCTCCTTGATAGCCCGTCGATATCCGGATCCTTTGATCTTGAGGGCACGGTTGAGAGTAAACGAAGGTCGCGACTGTGAGCCTGAGGATTCCTTGCCGGCCTGAGCACCCTGCTGTCGGTACTGCCTGCTTCCGTATAGGAATGCTTTCAGGCCGAATAGCTTGCGGAGCAGCGGCCATAAGCACGTCAGGTTGGCCACATAAATTGCTGTGCTGGCCTCCCGAATATACCAAATCTGATAGGTCGTGGTCAGAGGGGACGCGAAATTGAACACTTTGTTCAAGATGGCCGCCACAATGGTGAATACGCCGAGGCTCATGATGCAGATAAGCAGTAGCTTTTTTCTCATCTTCATCTGTGCTTTAATGAGCAGCGGGACCGGGACCGCTAGCATAGCTGCATCCGACGATATGTTGAAGACAGCCTGAGTGATGGAGTAGTTCTGGTAGGTCGCACATTGAAGGTTCTTGACAGGCATGGCCCAGTACTGGGAGAATGGTCGGCAGTAGACGCCATAATAGGTGACCATAATGACAACGAACCCAACCGCAACATACACCGCGATTATCTTGACATAGAGATGTAATCGGAGGTTCTTGGTTAACCGCCAGAACAGGGTCAACATGCAGATCTTGACTCCCCAGGTCGAGAACAGCATGCACTGTTCCAATCCAATGACAATCTTACTACCAATGATCCTGTCCTTGACTTCTTGAGGGTTGGCTAAGACTTTGTCGTAGTCGGCTGGGTCCATCAGGTTCGTTGCATAACGGGCGGATATTTGGATCAGAATCAGTAGACTCGTATAGATCAACTAGGATGAGATCATTGCCATGTCAGCCGTTTGTGATAGAGGACGAGCAGACGGTCGACACTCACAAATGTTGCACTCATGACATAGTCATCAACTATTGCACCAGTTACCGTTAGTAGCTGTAATACGGGTTGGCGCAAACCTACCGGGGCATACAGTATAAGCGCTTGGCCGATCCATTTGAGATAACACGAGATATCCTTGGCCCGGTCAGACATTTACTACCTCCCAAAGGCGTCTCAAGGTACGTACATTCTACCAACGTAGAGGACAATCGCAATGCTCCAGAAAATGACAGACTCCGTGAGCAGCTGTTGTGGAGTGGGCGACACGTTCCCCATCGTGACAATGGAGCGCAACAAATGGGCAATCCGACAAGGAGTGCTTTTTGCTCATCCGAAGCAAATAGCTTCAGTTCGTACGAAACGTCAAGGTTGCATCGCCATTTACGGGTTTTAAAGATCAAGCCATATCAGCCATTTCACTGTGAGCCATGATGTCTCAGGTCTATCAAATGGTCCGCGTATCCAAACATTGATTGACCGCATTAACATCCTGAATTTTTGTGTCAGAACTGAAACGGTACAGCTCGCAGTCCTTCATTTGTTGTCTGTTGTAATTTGTCAGACTCGAGACCCAGATGAAGCAAGGGAAGAAAGGGAGGGAAGGGAGAGTTCAACGCAAGGGATGCTGGGACCACAAGTCGTAAGGACCTTGGCCACATCCACGCTCAGAGAAACATCCAATGTTCGGCAACACCGTTTGAGTGCATTCTTCCGCACCAAAGAATGCTTGAATGCTTCCCAACTCCGGCCACTCCGAACAGGATGACAGGCTGGGGAGCACGAGCCACGAAATTGTATGACCCACTGTTGTCATTCACACTTGAATCATGTTTGACTATTTATCTTTGTCATTATCTCCCTTGCACGTCCAACCAATGCCTTTTCAAGTGAGGGAGGTGGTTGAGTGCCGTCATATACGTTTGCCGTCTTAAGCGCAGCCAAGGCTACTTGGAGAAACATCTGCATAGTTCCCCATTAAGCGTCTGTAAGCGAGATTTCCTCCCTGGGTTGATCTCTTCTGAACCAAGGGTATTCGAGTATGCAATTTCGCCCGTAAGGTCTCCGGCACTTCGACATTTTGCACCCAGGCCCGAACAGGGTTCGCTTGTCCTGATAACTTGCACAAGACGGTCAGGATCAGCATAATGGCAAGCTTAAATCAAATAGAACGCAAACTAGTCTTTGAGCGTGCGTTTAGAACGCTCAGTGGTAAGCTATTCCACGCTTTGCTTTCCCAGCAGGTGCTTACATTGCTCACCTGGTAATGCACAATAGCCGTGTTGTGATCGGTTGAGATCAAACTTCAATCGTCGTCAGTCCATTTGTCCAAATGGCGGTCAGGCATTGATTGGAGTCATTCATACATGTCTCGTACCAGCCAAAGCATTCTCCAGTATGTAAGGCTTCATTGCCAAATTCAATCTTGGTAGAGGCATATTTTTCCACAAATTGTTCAGAAGAAGAGGGCAACAACCAACATGGCGCATGTACGTCATCGCCAGAGCGGTTTCAAAGAGTCATTCTTTGCCAATACCTCAGGTAGAGAGGCTCCGAAAGAGAGGAAAACCGCAAACCATGATTTCCAGCCATCTCTTCTGGAATGCTTTATCGCTCCGAGAACCACGCGTATGTTTAGCCAGTGGAGAAGTCCTGGAGCAACACCTCCGAACACCTCTCACTCCAACGTAGTTATCTACGGCCGCCACCTTAGGTGTCAGTAACTAAATCCAATTCAGAATTGAATAGGTTCCATCATTCGTTCAAGTGTTCCAGATCGTAGAATCGAACTGCGTATCTGCAGTCACTGCACATCTGTAGCTATCATCCACAATGCGACTGAATAATATCTCTTCAATGGAAACATCTCAACTCGTTTGAGTTTCAAAGCCGACCTAGTCGAGTGGGAGAATTGAGTCCGGGCCTACCGTGAGCCTTGTGATTGGTGATAGGATGCGATTTTTGGGAGAGCCACTCTTCCATCGTGGATCTCTACTCAACTGGCTGTTCTAGCCAGCAAACGAGGACTCAAAAGTGATTCGTCATCCGTCAACAGGATTATCGCCACGATTTTGAGGTATAATGCCGAAGCTGATCGTCTCCGTCCAGCTGCAGTATGCGATGACTTCGTTCTGTTCGGAGAGAACATATGACAACTTGTTTTCAAGAGGACATAGTCAACGAAAATGGACGTCGTCGTCCGATAGATATGTAGTCTGCGTAGACCCAATAACGCAGCAAAATGCTATATTTTAGAATCAGTGATGACCTTGAGTTTGCGTCATGACCTGTCGAGCTTACAGAAGGGGCTCAACCCTCGTTGAGTATACCTTCCAGCCGTAGAGTCAACTGTGGCAATTCGAAGCTAGATCAGTCCTTTCTTGCATTATGTCGTCCAGATAATGGCCCAATATGCTTGGAAAGGTTGTCCTAGAGGAGACATATGAACACGCTGGCCTGGCGGAGGAGTCGAAAGAGACGCCGATTTGTATGTCGCTCCTTGGGACCGTGAGCGTGAGCGCTATGTGCGCCAAATCCATGTCACCGGGTGAGCGTCTCCAATTATCCAACGGACATGGTATCGCATATACAGTGATCTTCTTGACTCTCTCCGGGATCCAGAACATTGCGGACAAGACCGAGGCGGCGAAAGTAGCGACTCTGACGAACAACTGGATCGCAGAGCAGATCAAGGAGCATCAAGACCGTGTTGGGAGCTTTTTCCTGGATGTCAATTCATGATCCTGTTCAGGCTGCTAGGAACTTCAGTGATGCATCAAGGATCTCGGCTTTCACGGCGCTTCGCTCTGTGATTTCCAACATGCTGGTCCGAATGGCGAACATAGCTCTTCAACGACCAACCTCAGTGCGATTGGAAGGTCCTCATGGAGCTCGACGTTCCCCTTTATATCCACCCTGCAGCACCAGCCTATGTGATGCCGGAAAAACTGTACAGTCAGCGTCCATTCTTGATCGGGCCACCTGTGTCTTTCGCTAATGGGGTGAGTCTGGATACTCTGGGATTGATCAGCAATGGCGTGTTTGACCGATTACCCACAGCTAAGGTTATCATCGGTCAGCTGGGACAACGCATTCCCTTTGACTATTGGCGTATAAACCACTGGTTCGAAGGTGTAGAGAAACCCATTGCTGAAGAGAAGGGCAAAGTCATGTTTAAAATACCATTCTAAGCAGAATATCTGGATCACCACCAGCAGACACTTCTCTACGTCGACACTCAATCATGTGGTGGACGACGTAGGCACCGACGGCGCCCTCTTCAGCATCGACTACCCACCTGCGACCATCTAAAATGGCTGTGGCTGGTGGGATAATGGTGCGAAGGCCATTCAGGGGGCAGTGGTGAGATGTGAGGCGTATCGTTGCATCGGCCAGGACAGTGCGAAGAAGCTGCTGAAGTTGGGCGACTTTCAAGATTCCGAAGCGCCTGTCAATTGAGAACACCTGGCAATTAGTGGATTTCCGGCGCTTGTATGATGAGCATGATATATGTGACTATGGCAATTACCTGCTCCTTTCAACTCAAATAAATTCAAGTACGGTCAGTTAGACGGCCTACCAAATAATCGGGCGAAGAAATGATATAAACAAGGCTGCGAATTACATGATTCAGTGACAAAGGCAAAGACCATAATATTGGACGAGATGATGATCCTAAAGGTAGTCACTTTGGCGAAAGAGTTTGGAGAAGACGAACTTCATCGAGCAGCATGTGGTTGGGATATATAAGTCGGGCTGCATCAGGTCTCTGATCTTTATCGTCCTCTTTCTTGTCACAAATCCACCACCATGCACCGAAAGCGTTCTCGTTTCTTTACCCAAATATGGAAATAGCAGAGAACAATCGAAAGGCCAATGAATATGCCCGAGAATGTGGACTCAGTGGCGAGGATCGACCCGAAAATACTACCTGAGCTCCCCCTTGCGTGGGGATCGCAAGAGCAAAGTTCCCTTACCCCTCTAGCGGTTGTAGCAGTAAGTACTTGCAGACGTTGTCAAAGATTCTAAGAGACTGTAGTCTCTTGGATTGTTCATCTTATCATGCCACAGCTCGTCAAATCTTACCATATCTCATGGCAACTCACGGCTTATTCTCGGGAAGGACAACATGATATTCTACCGCTGGCCATGGCATCAGCGATTTGATGACCAAGTAAGCCTACGCTGTTCAGATATGCAACCCACGTGGCGTCCATATGGGGGCAGCCACAACTCCTTGCATGGAGTAGGAGGTAAGAGTTAGGAGGTAGGTGGTTTAAGGAGCACATGCCACCGAGTAACTCTCCTGTGGCACATCGAGAGCACCAATATTTGTGGTACAAGAAGGATTGGCCTTCTCTTCTCACCACTGCATCTCTTCACCCAGTCAACCAGATGGATACTTCCCATGATCCCAACATGATGGACGATGCACGTTTAGAGGCTGCCTTAGGACACAAGCAGGAGCTGAGAAGACACTTCGATCTCTTCAGCCTGGTCAGTCTCGGTATTGTCATTGCGAAGTAGGTCAAGCACAACGCTGGCCATCTGCACAGTTTGCTGATATGTTCGCGTAGCTCCTGGGCCGTCACTGGAGGGACGATCGTTGCAGCTCTGCAAGATGGAGGCCCCATGGCAATACTTTACGGCCTCATACTTGTCAGTATATTTTATACACTCATATCCGCGTCCCTGTCCGAACTCGCATCTTCTATGCCATCGGCCGGGGGGGTTTATTATTGGGCATCGGTGTCGAGCCAAGAATACGGACGGTTTGTTGGCTTTTTAACGGGGTACCTGAATGCTTGTGCCTGGCTCCTCTCGGCTGCATCGATTAGCTCCATGCTCGGAAACGAGGCTGTGGCCATGTACATGCTGCTCAATTCAGGCTCGCAATGGCATTCATGGCAGGTGTTCATCGTTTTCCAGCTGCTCGCTTGGATATGTTGCGCGGTGGCTTGTTTCGGGAATAAACTCATCCCTATGTTGAACCGAGTTGCACTTGTGCTCTCTATGTGTGGTCTATTGGTGACGGTCATTGTCCTCGCCGTCATGCCGAGAAAGCATACAAGCAATGCTGAGGTTTGGAGAAGATATCACAACAACACCGGCGGTTGGTCGGATGGTATTTGCTTCCTCATAGGTTTGATCAACCCAGCCTTCTCAGTCGGAGTCCCTGACTGCATCACCCATCTCTCCGAAGAAGGTTAGTGATCTTGCTCTTTGAGGCTACTACTTTCCTAGGTAACAATGCTTCTACTTAGTTGTGAAGCCCGAAATCAGAGTACCTCAGGGGACGATGCTCCAGATGTTAACTGCCTTTATCACCACCTTTGTCTACCTAATTGCTTTGTTCTACTCCATTGAGGACCTCGACGCTGTCTTACATAGTGAGATCTCGGCTTTCCCAACAGCAGAAATCTATCGACAAGCCACTGGATCAAGGCAGGGGGCAGTCGGACTGGTTGCGGTGCTCTTCCTGACCGCATTTCCAACCTTAGTTGGAGTCTACATCACTGGCGGCCGCATGTGGTGGAGTCTTGCTCGTGACAACGCAACGCCTTTCGCCTCATACTTCAGTCATGTCCATCCAACACAGAAGAATCCAACCCGGGCCACTGTAGCTATGGCTGGTATGGTGAGTTTCCTGGGTTGCATATACATCGGCAGTACTACCGCATTCCAGGCACTACTATCGTCCTATATTGTGTTGAGCACTCTGTCTTATCTAGGCGCTATACTGCCTCATGTGCTGACAGGCCGGAAGAATATAGTGCCTGGACCTTTCTACATGGGAAGAAAGATGGGCTTGATAGTGAACGGAGTGACTGTGGTCTATATTCTTGTTACTATTGTCTTCTTTTGCTTTCCACTCACCCACCCGGTCACAGTTCACAACATGAACTATTCGAGTGTCATTGCTGTAGGACTAGTCACTTTGACTGCGTTATGGTGGTTTGTTCGCGGAAGACGTGATTACAGGGGGCCACAATACAGCGCCGAAATCGCGCAAAGTCTTCCTGCCGAGTTGGAAACAGAGAAGAGGGGCCTATCTTGACCTGAAGAGCGCCCGGACCTGCCTGGAAACCACATGAGTGTTTGAATTTCTATCTCTCAAGGGCCGCAACGTGTAATAACAGCAATTGAAGTCTATCCAAGGCAATGGGCGAAACCCAGCATAAGCCCAGCAAGAATTACTTTCAATTGACACCTTACTGCAAGTTTGTTCAAGTTAGTTCCTTAAGGCATCACAAGAGTTCGCTATCATCATCATTCAGTAAAAGAAAGGATCAACCCGGCCATTGCATCCTTGCATCTACAATCTCGGCCGAATTGACTGGCTCCCCTCCCAGGACTCGCCAGCCTCCAAAGTCTGCCAGCCAGCAACGGAACCAGCCTCGATGCAAATCATCTTCTTATATGCATCATCCGGGGCAAAATCGGCCATGCCCTTCGCCTTTTCGATCCAAGGGTTCCAGACAACGACATCGTTCAATCCCTCGCGTGTAACGGAGAAAATAGGCTTGTCGTCAGCGGCAGATGCCACGATGATGGGAACCTTAGGGTCCAATTCTTTGTACACACGATCTGTCTCCTTGTTGATCTCCAATGCAGGCGAAGTCTCGGTGTGCGTAGTAGCGTTTCGGGTCTTATCKATGTAGGTCTTGGATTCGAGGTTCTTAACCCGGATTTGCGAGACGTCCTGAGACGCATTGGTAATTAGCAACGTCACGCAGCAGCATCAGGATACAAATGGCAGCTTACATCAATGCTGAGATAGGTGTGCATCAGAACCTGGAAGTCGAAATTCTGGTTGCCCTTGTTCTGCACTTGCAGGGATGTTTCCAGGCCTTCCTTGGTCAAGGTGACACTGTACAAAAGGCCAAACTCATACGGCCAAGCCTTCCGGAATTCCTCGCTCAGCATAGTATGAGACAGACCGAAGTCCAGCTTGACCGAATCATCACAATCCTTCTTCCCTAGCGATTCGGACGATGACTTGCCCAGGAACTCCCAGTTGGAGTTGCGCGCAAAGCCATGCTGCGGGAGGGAGGAGGTAGCGTGGTTAGGAGGAGGAGGACCGAAGACCTATAGCAAATGGAAGATTTCTCGGATCAGTGCTGCTGTCCAGCTGCGGATAAGGAGGTCTTAGACGTACAGGGAACACAACAGGGATGCCACCACGGATAGGCTTGGAGCCATCCAAATGAGCCTTTTCGCTCATGAACAGCTGTTCCCGCCCATTTGCAAGCTTCCACGAGGTGACCGTTGCTCCATACAAATGAACAGTGACGGACTCGCCGGTGGGCAAGGTGGCCTCGATCTTGTTCTCGCGGAAGGTGATGGTGGGCTGGGGTAGTGATGCGGCCACACCAATGGCTGAGGGCTTGTTAGACCGCTCCATTTTTCGATGTCAGATTCAAAGCAGATCTTAGGCTAGATTTGTGGGTTTGAGAGTCTAAAGAGCGAAGGTGCTCGTTGGGCTTGCTGTGATGCGGGGAGTGCCACGACGGAACTGAGGGGAGGGCGGGGCAACAACATCATAATCATCGCTCTATTAGTTCACCACATATGACTCCCTCTGACATCAAGCCAACCCACAGTCGAGAATCTTTCTACCATAACCTACAGTGGTAATTGAAATAATTCACCGCATTTTTCAATGTTTACTTTTCATTTCCGACTACTATACTGTCATAGCTAAGTTTCATGCTTAGATTGACCAAGAAAGCAATCTGATT